CCCTCCCCTCCCCTCCCCTCCCCTCCCCTCCCCTCCTGCCTGCCCACCCACCCGCCTGACTGCCTTCTTGTATTTTAACCTTTTGGAAATTTAATAAAATTTATTTTAAAAAGGCCTCTGCATCTAAGAATATCAATGCGCTTGTTTTTCATTATGTTGCTCTAAATATTCCAAAATATCCAAAAACATGTCTAATATTATCTTGTAATTGTCTTTTAGGTAAAAATCTGCATTGATCTTCATGAATAAAGTCCTGTAAAATTATCTTCAACCTTTCAGCCAAAATCGTGGTAAACAGCTTATAGTCATTATTCAATAGCAATATTGGTCAATAGCTTCTTGTTAAAGTCAAATCTTGTGCCTCTTTAGGTCTTAATGCTATATTAGCCTCTTTCTAGCTATCAGAAATCTTTCCATTCTGTAGAATAAAATTCATCGTTTGTTGTAAAGGTTGTAAAACCTCATCCTCAAAACATTAATAGTAAGAAGCCAGCAACACATCTGGATCAGGTGCCTTTTCTGTTTTAGTCTTTTTGATAGCTTCACATAGTTCCCTTATTGTTTTAGGACCATTCAAAATTTGTCTCTGATTCTCTGTAATCTTCAGTAAATTCTGTTTATTTTAATATTCATCCACTTTTTCTGAGGAAATTTCTTGTCCTTTGTATAAAGTAGTATAATACTGATGAAACACATTTCCCATATTTGCGTTATCTGTTATTACAGTATTACTTTATTGTAACTTTAATATCACTTCCTTTTCTTTTTCTTTTTGCAGCTTCTATGCCAACCATTTCCCTGGTTTATTTGCAAATTCAAAATTTCTTCGTTTTGCATAGTTCATCTTTATTTCCATCTCTCTCACTATTAACAGTTGCCTCTGTAAAAGCTTAATTTGGTGAGTGATAGTTGTCCTCCCTGGGGAATTTTAAACTCTTCTTCCTTTTTTTAATCTCATCCCAATTCATTTGTATTTTCTCTTGCCTTTTCTTTTTAAATTCACTATGATGTTGTATACAATATCCTCTTGCAAAAGCTTTACTTGCATCCCAAACCATCCTTACTTCTGTGCTTTTATTAAGATTATTGTCAAAAAATTCCTTTAACTTCTTTTTGCAATCCTCCACTACCATTTCCTTTTGTAACAACATCTCATTCAATCTCCACCTAAAAGATCCCTTTTTCCTTTTAAAAGTTAGTTACTTAACAGGCTGTGGAAAGAGGGTGTGTGGTGTATGTGTGTATGCGAGCGCAGGGAGGGCGAGGAAAGAGGGTGTGGGGTGTGTGCTTGTGAAGGGGGGAAGGAGGGCATGGTGTGTGTGAGCAAAGAAAGACTGGGGAGGGGGGAAGCTTACCCCAGTGACTTGCAATCTTCCTTGCTGCCTTCCTATTGACTTTGCTTGGGGGAAGCCAGCAGGGAAGGTTGCAAATGGTGATCATGTGATCATGGGGCACTTGGCAACTGGTTGTAAGTAACAGGTTGCCAAGCATCCAGATTGTGATCATGTGACCGTGAGGGTGCTGGGACAGCTGCAACTTTGAGGACTGGTCATAAGTCTCCTTTTTCAGTGTCCTGGTAACTTCAAACAGTTGCTAAGTGAATGATCATAACTTGAGGGCTACCTGTACTGTCCTTAATAATAAACAGTCAGCATTCCCACGAAGGTTGGTCTGTTAGTCTAATTACTATTGCTATTTTCAAAGGCACTTTCATAAATATATATATATATTTATTAAAAATATATATATTTTAATCACCGTCCCCTTTATTTATTTAAAATTTTCTTGAATCACAGTCTTGTAAGCTTTTTGCTTTTAAATTAAAATATTAAAAATATATATATTTTAATCACCGTCCCCTTTATTTATTTAAAATTTTCTTGAATCACAGTCTTGTAAGCTTTTTGCTTTTAAATTAAAATATTAAAAATATATATATTTTAATCACCGTCCCCTTTATTTATTTAAAATTTTCTTGAATCACAGTCTTGTAAGCTTTTTGCTTTTAAATTAAAATCCTTTAAAATAGTGTTTTTTTCCCCCCTCTTCTTAATTTTAAAAAGAAGCCACTCACTGAGAGTCTTTGACCTTCACTGCCGTTTAGAATATATCTCTTAGGCTGTAAAGTAATTTAGTCCTAAAGTGTTTAAGAAGGTGAGGCTTTTGCCTGTCACATGTCCATTAAGGCTGCATAGCAGTTAAGGGCACATTGTAAATACCTTGGCTCCCAAGCCATTCAACTCACAATTGAGCACAAGAAACTCAATTCCTGTGGTCTCCTTTCAAAGAGCAGCTCTTCCAGAGCGCAAATGTGTGATCCCAACAATTTCTCCTTTCTCCAAATAGATTCTCATCAGCCAGAACCTGGCTCCTGGCCAATGATTCCACTGCAGTGCTGTCTCCGCTCATGGAGCTGCTGGCAGGGACATCTAACCTGCCATCAGTCCTTACCTGGAAACTGGCATCTGAGTATCTTTTCTTCCATTGCTACCCTACTAAGTGCTAGACTGTAGCATATTTGACTAGTGGTTCCCTTACTGCTGATAGGCAAAAAAGGCAGAAGCTATCCTTCATTTCCATATCTTCACTGGCAATTCAAAGAGGGGTTGCTGTACCTGTTATTAGTTTTTTATATTTAATCTTAGTCACATTTTTTTCACAATGCTCCCTGAATTTCATTACCAGAGCTTGCAGATCATTTGCTTTTCATTTTGCTGTGAACAGTGTTATCAGCATAGTGTAGAATACTGAAGTTTCTTCCTCCAGTTTTAAAACCATGCTCATCTTCTTCCTGTCCAGTCTTCCTCAATATATACAGGTAGTCCTTGCTTAACTACCATTCGTTCAATGACCGTTCAAAGTTACGGTGGTGCTGAACGAATGGTAGTTACTCCTGGTTACCAAAGTTATGGCCATTGCAGTGCCCCCGGGGTCATGTGATCAGAATTTGGGCACTTAGCAGCCCACCTGCAGTTACCACTGCAGGGGTGCTTCAACTACCTCATCCACCTATCTCCACCCACCCATCTTTGCCCTTTTGGCCACCCTGCATTCAGCTGCCTCTGCTGCCCTGCCACCCTGCACTCCACTAGCCCTGCCACCTTGCACTCCACTGGCTGTGCGCTCCACTGGCCCTGCTGGACCTGCTGCCCCAGCTGACCTTCGCTGTCTTCTTCCGCTGCTGATGAGCAGAGTGTAGGGCAGCAGGACCAGGGGACTATAGGGTGGCAGGGGCAGCGGAGCACAGGGCAGTAGGGCTGGCAGAGACAGCAGAGTGCAGGGTGGCCAAAAGAGCAGAGATTGGGGGGGAGATAAGTGGGTGGGGGGAGTTGAAGAGGAGGCAGTCCCTTACCTTGGAGAACAAAGGCTCAGAGCTGGGAGGGATCAAGCCGGGAATGGCTTGGATTGGGGTGGCTCCTTGCCTAATGAGTGGGTTGTATTTGGTTAACTGGGACTGCCAGGATTGCTGTCACAAGTAATGCAGTCATGTGATGTGCTTTATGACCACAACACTTAGCGATGGAAATTCTGGTCCCATTACCGTCTTAACCCAGAGACTACCTGTATTTAGCATATATGTTGAATAAATAAGAAGCAAGTATGCAGCCTCAGTCTGTTTTGCCATGTTCTGTCTATACTGTGGCTTCCTGAGCTGTCTATAGGTTTTGCATAAGGACAATGACATGTTCTGGTATTTTTGTTTTTCTAAGCACATTCCATAGCTTGACATAGTCAACACAATCAAAGGCCCTACAATGAAACAGATATTGACTGCTTTTGGATATTCTTTGGTTTTTCTATTATCCAGTGTACATTAGCAATAGTCTCTTGTTCCTCGACCTTTTCTAAAGCCAACTTGAACATTTGAAATCTTCCTTTCCGCATATTTCTTATATTTCACTATTAAAAATTATTAGTCTCGTTATCTTCATATTCCTGAGTGCTTTAATTTTGATAACACTAGATTTAAGTTAACACATTTTGCGAATGTGGCTTTTGACTTGAATGACACATTTAATTAAGTGATAGTCATGCTTAGTCATGCTTTATTGAATAAACTCACAATTAGCTGAGTTTGTCCAACATATTAAGCCACAATCAAATAAAACGTGTTATAATTTTGCACATACATGAAGCAGGTCCACATTTCTGCACCCAAGGTAGAAGTATAGTGATATATACACACAAATATATCAGCTACACATATATTATTGTCTAGTAAGGCCTTGAGACAAACCTAAAATAGGATGGCTTAGGCAGATAGCTAATTAGAAAGAATTGTTATACTAATCTGGGTCCTTTATTAATGGCTTGTGTGAATCAAAATTCTTGTAGAGAAGTAAGGAAATGTTTCATTGACCCCAGGAACTATCAGTCAGTACAATGGGATGTAAGGGCAGTAGTTAATATTCAGAATGAGAAATGACAGGCATGAGCTGGAAGCTCTTCCCCATATTCTTAGGCGCCTGAAGACGCTTTCTTACTTAATGATGTAGGAAAAACTTCTTCAGCATAATCAAATGCACTCCAGTCAATTAACCAAAATCCAATATCAGTATGATTTCCTTGTTTTATCCTCACAAACTGAAACAATAATCTGCTTCTGATTGATTATTTTCAAGTCAAGATTTTCACTTGTTCCTGTAATTGAGCAGGATTGTGGCAATGGAGCTGACAAAGATAAATGCATGGCAGAACTTCTTTGCTGTCCGGACACTGATGGCTATGTTCTTGGGGGTTGATGTCTGTAAAACCTATGATGCAAGACAATACATCCTTCTGAGCAAATTGCGTGGAGTTATAGAAGAACAATATCTATGCCTTTTCAACAACCTTTTTCATGTTAAGGTAAAGATGTAAAAATGGAAGATCTTTGTCTGCTGTGAATTTTTTGTATTGAAAAGTAGATGTAGATACAGTACCAGAGAAAGGCAATGTGAAGGTATAGATCACTTGATAAAGCTGCACAGATTACTTCTGAGTATTTACTGAGAATATATAAATTTGATGTATAAATAAATGAATAAATATCTAATTAAGAGTGAACATTTTTTTTATGGAGACTAAATGAATATTATAAATCTGTTTAAATGACTTCAGGGTTATCTAATTATCATAAGTAAGTGTTACTAGCAGGAATGTTAGTAATCAAATAATTATAAAATTTGTTTTTTTTTTCTGGTTAGTTTCCTACATCAGAAGTGGTTTCCCAAATGGACAATGACAGAAAGAATAAGGAGATTGAAATAATGCTTTTAAAAATTCTAGTTAATGTAAGTAATGTTTTTCCTTGTGCATAACATGGTCTACAAATGGTATGGGGAGGATTAGGTTCTTAATACAGTCCTCACTTAATGACCACAATTGGGACCGGCAACTTTGTCACTAAGTGATGTAGTCTTTAAGCGAAATATCACGTCACTGCCCTGCTTAGCGATGGCAATTCTGGCAGTCCCTGTTGCTGTCATTAAGCAAATCGTATGCGGTCATTAGGTGAGGACCAATCCCGATCCAAGCCATTCCCGGCTTGGTCCTTCCCAGCCCTGAGCCTTGGTTCTTCCAAGGTAAGGGATTGCTTCCTCTTCAGATCCCCCCAACTCTGCCTTTTTGACCACCCCACATAGTGGCATTCCTTGGCAGTGGTGGCGGTGCTGAGGCTGAAGTAGAGACTTGGGACCTTCAGCAGTTTCAGCCCACCACCATTCCTGAGCCTCTACTTCAGCACCACTACCACCACTGAGGAGTACTGCCTCAAGCCCCACACCAGGGCAAGTTGCCCCATTGCTGTGCCATGGCACAAAACCCCATTGCCATGCTGTGGCACAGCCAGCTGCCCCAGCATCATGATGCAAAGCCCTGTTGCCGTCTTGCAGCATGAAGCCCCAGCTACTGCCCCCACACGGCATGCTGCCCCAGTGCTGCAGTGTGAAGCCCCAGTCCCATTGCCACGGCATGGTGAGAAGTGCTGTGGTGCGAGAGCCGCCCCAGTGCCACAGCATGGCATGCCATCCCAGAGCCATGGCACGAAGCCCTGTTACCACAGCATGACAAGAAGCCCCAGTGCCACAGCCTGGCAAGAACACAATGATCATGCTGAGGAGGAGGAGAGGAAGAAAGGTCAGCTGGGGGCAGCAGTGGCAGGGGGATGGTCGTAAATGTGGACAGGCCCGAATTTTTATCACATAGCTGCGGGAATGCTGCGATGGTTGGAAGTTTGAAGACCAGTTGTAAGTCTATTTTTTCAATGCTGTCATAACTTCAAACAGTCACTGAATGAATGAATATTAAGCGAAGACTAACTTCTGATAAACATAGTGAGTTTATCCATTTTCCAACAATCTCAGAAGGGTTACATTTATCATCTTCATTAGTTTGCACAAGCATGATTTTGAATGAATGTGCAAGTGAATGTATACCGTAAATCAGATCCAGGGAAACACTGGTAGTCAACTGGGATCTACAGTAGAGATCCAGTCCTTTCTATTAACCTCTGGCAATATCACCAGTTTTAGGTGAGGCATGGAAACAACATTGGCCATGGATGTCTAAGAACAAATAACTGCAAGTTTTTACAGTGTAGTTCAGCATTAGTAGAAGCATATAACAGCAGTAAGTAAAAGTTCTAGAAGCTGTGATGACAAGAATTCTGGATATAACATCATCTTATTGTATTTGTGTTATTGTTGTTTTAGGCAGCAGAAAAGGAAGTCCTCATTTTTGCAATTGATGAAGCTCAGTTTATTGATAAAGCCTCTTGGGATTTCTTGGATAACTTGCTTAAGCGTGTTCCGATCTTTGTTGTCATGGCTTTGTCTCCTATCAACATCAAGGGACGACTGCTCTGTTCCAGTGCAGCCCAAATCCTGAACAGTCCCAACACAACTTTTGTTCAGCTAAGGGAGCTAACTCCTTCAGTAATTATTCAGAAAGCCTGCCAAGACCTTGGAGTGGTCAGTATCACCAGGGAGCTTGAAACGTAAGTAGGAAGTGCCCGGCTAGGCAATCATTTAGCTGTTCCTATTAAGCTGAAGGCAAAGACAGTTGCCAGGAAGTGCTAATGTTATCATTTAAATCAGTGATTCTCAACCTTTTTGAAGCTGCCGCCCCCCTAAGGAGCGGAAAATTTTTCAATGCCACGCTTTGTGAAAATCCTGTAATTTAGGGTATGGGGACGGGGGGGAGAGTTACTGAATTATAAAAGGCAAAAATTTTAAGTAATTTTTTTCAGTAGACTTACACACCAAATTTGTTCGATTTAACTCGATACTTTTGCCCTGGAAGATAATTGCATTCCTTTTATTAAAATTAAAATGACTAATCCAAAAAAAAATGCTTAAAATGCTTTCTCAAAAAAATGCTTTCTCAAAATTAATAATTCACGACCACGATAAAGAACTAATAAGTGCACTTACCTAGCCGACTGGCAAAATAAAAAAGGAAAGAAAATCGAAACTGAGGGGAAAAAACAGAAATGAAGCGAACGAAAAGCAACTCAAGAAACAGGGTCAAATCAAGCATTCATATTGAAAGGACGCTCAACGCACGCACTGCAATTAATCGCGCGGGAAGACAGCTGACGCATGCGCTGTGCTGGTTGGGATCGGAGAAGAATCGGAGTGTCGAGTTGTTCA